AACTTTTCATGACCCGCTTCCCAGGGCAGCGCACGGATATTATCGAAGTCCATGAGTGCGTCATGAGTTGGAGACCATACATAGAGGGAAAAAAAGACACATGTGCAACATTACGTTGATCTGATCACGACTACGTGCTGGCCGCTGTGCCAGAAGTTCAAATCCATTGGTCTATCTAATTGCGAACTGATGCAGTGGTTCAAGCTTGCCAAGCTCTGATGGCGATGCCGACGAAAAAATGAAAGGCCACTGCAGAGAATGGCGAGTTCATTCTGTTTGTTTCTCTCCTTAACTAAAAGCTCTTGTATTCTTTGATTCCTTCAATCGGCGGCGGGCATAGAAGCTGTACTCAGGATCACCCATTCGCGCCGGCACCTTCAATCTGTATGGGCCTTCATCTATCTTTGTGTTGGTTCGAAGACACTCCTGTAACCAGTCGTAACTGACTATGTGGACACCTTTCCAATTTTTGCGGGAAATGTACCTCGTGAAGCCTTCTTCATCTGAAAGTTGGCTCTGCGAAGTCACCAGATGCGTGAGCAAAGGGTCTTCGAGATCATGGATATATTGGCCGTGAAGGTCTTCTATCTGACGTCTGATCCAACTGAAATCACTCCAAACCGATTTCAGTGGATAATTTCTGGTGAATGAGATAGAGCATGCGATCAAAGCGCGAGCGCGGCCCATGGTTGGATGTAGTTGAAGTTGGGATTTGGTACTGTACGCTTTCTCGAAGAACGACGAGCCACGACCGGTGAAAGAGCCAATGCAGCCGTCACTTTATACTTTGTGTGGGAATAAATCCCCAAATGGAATTGGTTTTTCAAGTCGCGAATGGCAACTGTGTTCTTTCTCCGTTCTGGTTTTGGGCGTGCCTGGTGAACCTGGCCAGAATAGCCCCTTGGCAGCGAGTAAGGGTCTACCGAGTGCAAAGCTGTGAGAGATTTGAAAATCCACGTTTGAACGAAGGCGATCTGATTTTCCCTATTTGAAAATGAACAATCATCTGATTCAACATCAGGACTGGTGGCACTGTTTCCGATTGCGGCGCCTCGGCGAAGGATGTGGTTCGTTCGCGAAAAGACTCCGCAGCGCAAAGTCAAGATTAAGTACTGAGAATAGACCTTTCCCGGCCCTCCTACCCTGTCACAGAAGTTTGCCTGACGGTCCTTATGCATGAGTGGCCTGACGCTTGAGTGACCCGATATTTAAGTGCTTATTATTGGTACAGAATGTTTTGTCAGCCGCGAACGTCCACTGCCGGTAGAGGCCAATGAATAGACAAGTTATTATGTTCCAAACCGAAAAAAGGAGACTGCATAGCTCCAGTAAAGAATGTCCCACTTCTCATAGACATGCAAAACCCTTGGTCAGTGATGATGTCTATCTTCAGCCTCGGCGTATGTACTGTAAACCTTTTCTCACTTGAAAATTTTCCATGGCGGCTTGCCCGCCTCGTTATATGTACCTATCAGCTTGAGTTTACAGATGTCGGCTTAAAGCCGCAAACCGATCTCTCACGTTAGAAATGCTGGCTAACCCTAGTCCCTACTAGTCCCGCAACAAACAAGAAGTGGTATTTTTAGTGATTCTAGCTGTGATGCATTGATATTCCCGGCTTTCAATTCGGTCCCTTGACACTGATCCTGGCTCTTGATTTCCCCGTGTTGATCGGTTGCACCGCCCTTGTAACGTTTTGTGTCTTTTTTCCTTTTCGATGGTTGATCTGACAATGGTTTGAGCTTGCTCAAGAAGTGGAAACCCGTTGTCTTGTTTGCCGTAAGAGCACCCAAGATCCGAACAGGAACAGCGGCTCCTAACAAACCCGCCCTCTCCCTGGACTTCACGGCGGTGTCGCGCTAGGTTTTTCTCTGGGCCAATAGATTTGGAACAATGAGAACGAGGAAAAGCCCCATCAATTCCACAAACGAGGTTATGAAGGTACAAGACAGATATTGATTGATCCGGCAGCAAGCGTTGAGAGCAGACGTCGAATGAGGCCGGCTAATGGATGTTTGATGGCGCGTCCAACGATAGTCCACCTTCTTGTATATCGGACTCGGGCGTTGTATGGGATCTCTCCAGGGAATGACCGGACCCAGTTGATTCTGGTTGTAATGACGAGTCCATTATGGGAGTCAAGGATGTCCTGTTGTACAATGAACGTACCGGTTGAGTATCTAGAAATAGGCCTGTCGATTTGGACAGAAGGGGCTGCGCACTCGGCCCGTTATATAGTCCTTCCGAGCGGCCCTCCAGCAGACCTGGAGGGATGAGGAGTAACGGCTGTATAGCTGATGGGGGACGCCGGTGCAAAGATGCACTCTCTGTTCAACTTGCTGCAATTCTTACACCTCTCTTCGCTCCCAGACTGACGTCCTCCACAACGAATCTACGTTCAAGTCAGAGAGGCTGTGTAGAAAAGGGACGAGGCGTCGAGCGTTCGTCTGGAACAGACTCACCTTCCTCTTGCGACAGTATTTGCAGGCAACCGACGTCCGCTTATCCCGGGCGATCGCTACAACGCTAGATAGAGTAAAGCATGGAGGATCGTCTGACACAGTTGACAGAACAGGGCTGGGGTTGAGCCTGAAGACCTCTTGAGTAGGCTGTGCTGAGAGGCCACTAGGGCCCGGAATCAGGTATGGAGAAGGGTGTTGGAATGCAGAGCCAGACGTAAGTGGAAGCTCCGAGCCATCATTGGCTTGGGCGTCCCCAATAGCATCTTCCTCTGGACTGACTCTAAGACCACGTTCGACATGATCACCATAATCCTGAGATAAGGGATCTCTCTGACGCGGTAACCGGTTGTGTCGTTCTGCATTCCGAGCCTCTGGTTCATCGTCGAGGATCACCGCTAAACTGTAGCTGCGACGGGGGCAGGCCACTAGAGGCCACAGAGAATGGGTTTGCAGTCCGCCGTCGTCGATTTGGCTTTTTTCACTATTGTCATCTGGGAAAGGCCTGGAGTAGTTCTCCTCTGGGCCAGGATGTACAGTAGCCGAAATGAAGCCTTCCGACACGTTGGTGCAACGGGGTTGAGGTTGCGAGCACAGAGATGGATCGGATAGTCGGTCCCGAGGAGGACCAATCTTTCCTTTTTTGCTCGACGGTTGGTCATAGGCGTTGTCTCGGGGGTCCGATACGCCATTTACACGTTGACGTTGGGCACGTGGAGAACGCGACCCGTCCGACTCATCTAGCTCGGGTCGCTTTCGCTTCGAGTGATGAATTGTTGAGTGTTCGCTGTAGTACAGTATCGGATGTTCGCTGGTACGCATGCTGGCGAAGGAAGTGCGTTTATCACCATCATGCTCCTCTTTCTGGTGCACCTGGTTCAAAGTACCGTAGCGGGGATCATTAGTGAAGTCTTCTGTATCGCCTGAAGAAGCTCGGGTATGGGAGAATTGGTTGTCATGGTCATGAAAACCGGAGGCCTTTTCTGATTCTGATGGCATCGTGAAAGGGCAGGTACAAATAGATCTAGTGGTGACCAAGTGGTGATGGGCGCGAGAGAGGGCTGACGAGGAAAGGAATGAGGAGAGGGTATGGGTAAGGAGTAGGATATGGGACTAGGGGTATGGACGAGGGGATGGACGAGGGGATGGACGAGTGGAGTATGAACAGAGGGTACAGTAACGAGAGGGCATGAACGAGAGGAGCATGGATAGAGTGACTGGTCAAGGGAGACAATGCCCTTTCTTGGGTACACTGGCTTTATACCCACCAGCCACTCACGTGCACTCTTGTCAGGCGTGGAACATGTGCCCAAATCAGACCTTAACCTCTGAAGTCGGTCTTACGAGCCCCCGTACCACAGACTTGCAACGGAATAGCTTACTCATCTGATGGGCCTTGCTTGATGCTTCTTGCCTACAAACTCCCGAGCCACTTGCCTGATGTTGTGACGATCGTTTCATATCAGCCATGCCTACTCTTCTCTGGCCGGATGACACGAACTCCCATAGTGATACGGTTCACAAGATCGTCTCGCTCAGCTTGACTTTGCATCAAGACCGGCTGGGAGGTTCCGAGACCGGCGAGACGGGTGTTTCTAGGTACCACAGTCCCGTTGGAATCGCATGCCTTTCAGACGAGAAGAGTGACAACGGGCCCGACCATTCATTGCGCATGTAAATGAATGTCGTCTTCATGTCGGCTCCTTCCTCTTCGATGTTTCAGCCCTTAGTTTTGTCATGTCGTTCTTGGTGCTGTTCAACCTGAAAAGCATACGCAAGTGTGATGATGAAGACTCATCGGCTACAGACAGCCCGGCTGGCTTCTGTGCGTGTTCGCTATATGCTTCGCAAGGTCTCCCCCTGTTGTGACTTGATTGACGCGATCCCCAAATCTATCGCAACCCCCACAGCTGTACTGCAGGCAACGAGGGTGGAAGACGCATCACGGATTGGTGATTCAAGCTCCTTTGTGCCATTTCATTATTGGTTCGATCGTGCCAGTTTACTTTACTCAAGTCAAGGCTGACGTAGAGTGGCCCGGACAGGGGCAGCCCGACAGGCTCTGCCGCCATCAGTTGACAGCGATGCAAGGGACGCACCATTCAACCCTCATGCTCATGATAAGGCAGATCAGGACGCAGACAGCGCCGCTCTGCCGGCTGCCAGAAGAAGGTTGCAGCCCCTTGTTCAAAGTTTGGTGAAGAGCGAAGACAGCCATGTCTGCTCACCCTACATAGGGCCTAGGCGCCGACCAGGCGCCCAAATCCTTGGCACGGCCAGGCGGCAACGCCAGCTAGATCTCGCTTCTCGCTTCCAGACTCCTGGCCGCAGCCATAGACATAAATCACCTGGCCCATCCACATTCGCCTTCGCATCAGCCAGCAATCGTCAATGCAGTCGTGATGGCTGTTGCACCTGGCAAACTGGGCCTTCGGTGCCCGAACCAAGGTCAATTTTACATTTGCGAAGCTAATTCCACGGAATTCATCGGCTGCTGCCTTTCCGACCCCTGCGCCAATGGATCCGGCCAGTGCCCACATGACAAGCTCGCCCCATCAACCTTCTCAGCCAATCAGTACGCTGCCGTTCCGGGCCAGGATTGTGAAGATGCAAGAGGCGTGTCTGTCTGGTGGACATGTCGCGATACCAGTCCGCCATTTTTAGGATGCTGCGCGAGCGATCCATGTGTCCACGGCTGCACGCGACGTGATCTACTCCCGGCCAAGTTGCATAGCAATAAAACGCACCGCCAACCATTTCTGTCCAGCGATGCACCGTTGAGCTTACCATCGTTTCTGCCTTCGATAACGTCTTCGGCGGGGCACTACACAACAACTTCGATTCGACCATCCAGTCCGTCTGAGGAGGCACCTTCGTCAGAGCCAAATGCCGGGCACGTGCCTGCCTCGCATTTATCAACCAAGGTCTTGATCGGGGCTTCTGTCGGTAGCGCTATGCTGGTAGCAATTTGCGCTCTAATTGCATGGCAGTGTGTAAGGCACGCCCTGCGGGCGAAACTTTTAGCTGCTGTGGAACTTCCTATCCACGTTGTAGGCAGCGGAGCACCGTCCTGGCCCAAGGACGCAGTGGAACTATCGGCAGAGCCTGCTACGGCAGTCTCCCGTTAGCTAAACGTCAGTCAAAGGACGCCCAGGCGCCAGCGAGATCTCAGCTACTGAAGTTGCTGGTGGTTTTTTCCTTGTTACGCTCGTGCCCAGCGTCGCTGGTACACGATGATGGAAACTGATGAAATCGTTCGTATATAAAGCTTTGTGCAGCAATAGTTAAAATCTATTTCGCACTTGAAAGCGTGTGCATACATACAAGCAGTCGTGCCTTCATGCCTTCCACCGCGTTGCGCAGCCGCCGGAGAACGTGCTCGTACTGACAGACTGGCGCAGCCTTAACCCGGTGCGGGGGAATCCTGCTCTCAGCACACCGAGATCATTCAAATCGAACATCTGATCCGCGACGAGGCACTGGAACTCACTTGCCAAAAGTCGAAATAGAATTGCCGCGCAGGTCCGGTAGGTCACCACAGTACAGTATGGTGTCGTCCTCCACAGAGGTTCAATGTAACATGGCCTTCTAGGAGGTGGATCATCATCACCAAACCTTCAGAGTGCTTAAGATGATTGCTCCCATACTTGCTCCCATACTTGCTCCCGTACTTGCTCCCATACTTGCTCCCGTACTTGCACACATATTTGCATTCATAGTTGCACCGGTCATTGCTCCGATCGCTGTAGCACCATCCCTAACCACCAGCGACAGAAGCCATGTCTAAATCGCAGCCCTGGCTGAGTTTGGCTTCGGGCGCTCCTGGGCTGGGAGGCCCTTACCTTATAGAAACACTGGCAGCATATGAAGAGCTGGATGCAATAGGACATGAAAAGCCGCGAATTCTGATGGCGATTGGACAAGCAACCAAGCGGAAGGTTCTTACTGAGTCTTTTCCCAGGCTCTCCGGTCAGGGACGATCTGGCGCAGTCACTCTCAGCACCCTTGGGCCGCCACTGACATTTCTGATCGACTGCGAGCTTCACGTCTCTCGAGACGCTCCGGGCATCCAGGGAGGGCCGAGCAAGGGAGACTATGCGAGGCATGAGATGAGATGCGCTGCAAATAGTCAGAAGGAGGTTGCCTACTCCCTCTATCACCAACTACTCGCGCCATTCAGTGCTGTCGTCCTTGTCTTCGTGGAGGATTTCAGGAACGCCTCCGAAGTCACAGACCTTCTCATCGACTGGCTTCGCTCAGCCATGGAAAAACGACCCCCATATAGTCCCAGAATTGTCCTGGTGACTGAGACAGGCGCAACCCTTGATCTGAAAGACTTTTTTGTCACGCTTGGTGGCTAGAACTCTGTCCTTACTCCGCCTCAGCGATTCCTTGCGAGCGTACACAGCTGCCGAGATTCGTGCCAGGATAAAATCATTTATTGACCTCGAAACTATGGAAGCACAGGCAGGGGCTACGTTTGCGAGATCGTTGTCGTCCCTTGCCTTGCGTGCCTGCCGTGACCGGCATCAGTCACATGTACATTTCTCCGCACTGCACTGGAAAACACTCTTCAGAAACGCCATGGTCCAATTCGCCGAGTCTCCGTCTCTCCCTCTCTCGCTGTGTCAACTCGCCAGGCGAGCCAATCCGTTGCCAGATGGCCTATCCGCACAGCTAACCCGCTTCTTGCGAGCGACGGCGCTGGAAGGCATGGAACACGCCGAGATACTGGCATCCGCGCTAGCTATGAATGCTTATCCTCCAGGAATGCATGGTACGTTTACTCTTCGTGACGCTCCGTGAAGCTTCGTGATGCTACGTCATGCACAGGCTGGTTCTGATGAGTCATTAGGCTTCCCACCTGCCATGGTCTATTCAGAACTGTATGAAGACGAAGTACGCCGTGCCGTGTCGGATTTCAAACCAGCGCGATGCGATCTTGCGCCGCAAATCCAGGAAGGATTTGTCAACCTTGCGAGCCACAACTTGAAAATATCGGGTGCCTTCGCTGCCGCGCATAAGGCTGTGTTAAGACGTGGACGGGCATCGTGGTTGTCTGTCAAGCCCCACGACATATGTTTAGTCTGCGCGGTACACTCTCCGACGAAGACACTGGACTGTAGACATCGGCTTTGTGATGCATGCACGGTGATCTGCGGCACGCTTGAGGGTCAAGGGACGACGACCGTCCCTCATTGCCCACTCTGTGGGCAACCCAACGCTGCTTCCTTCAAGAGGCGCCCTCCGACAGCAGGCACACGCGTCCTCGATCTGGGCGGTGCAGAGGCTGCAAAGACCATGGAGTTTCTCAGATCAATTCATCGCTCGATCAGTTTGGCAGGCACCTCCTTGTCTGACAGTTTCGATGTGGTTTTGGCCTCAAACGTCGGTACGTTCTCCTGTGTGCGTTCTTCCGCTCGCGATCTCATTGTTGTAGGGATCTTCTTCGCGCTCGCCCTCTTTCTTGAGAAGTGGACACTTGAGGACTGCAAACACCACCTGCGTCGACTTGTCCGCCCGAAACAGTCATGGATTAGATCGTGGAACGGGACCATCAACTTCGGAAAAGCATTGAAGTGGGAACTGCGAGACGTTCGGTCGGTAAACCAGCCTGCTCTCGTCATACACACCAAGAGAAAGCTGCTGTCAAATGCGATGGCGCAGTCTGAGGCCGACAGCACGTGAGTCCTGCGATTGATACCAGGCTGGCCAAGCACTGACCATACGCTAGATCTCTGGTCGAACTCCAGCGTCAGTATGCGCGGAGATGTGATTGCTTGGTCCAATACAACGGTGGCCCTATCAGCCGAGTGCTTGTGAAGCAAATGACCAATCAGCTGATCTCGAGCCTATTCTATGTAGAGTTGGCAGCCACTCCCACCTTCTATCGATCGCCGCACGCCTGTGAGCTGGCCCTGCGTTGCCGTCTCGCCCCCGGCGCCGCGCTCTTTGGCCTCCTACTGAGGTTGTGTCGGGGCGAGGCGCACTTCCTCTATCGCGGCGATGAGCTGGAGTACAAGAGGATCAGAGTTTGCGAGGAGAAGGACTTGAAGGCATACCAGAACTGGGCTTCTTATGAACGTTCACTCCAAGTGCAGGCTGTATCTCCAGCATGCAAAATTGACATCCAAATCGACGGTGACGGCATTGACAAAGGCCAGCACAACACCAGTCACTACATCAGTAACTGCCCGTACCGGCTCGAAGACCTGATACGTGATCAAGGTCTGCATCGCTGCTTTGGCTCGCCTGATCACCGTCCCGTCTCAGGAAGACCAGCGATGTCGACACAGGCCCGGCTTGGCCCCCACTCCGCCGCACCAGTGGATATGGAGGAGAGCAGCATACTGCAACAGCTCAACGCGCTTCAATGCACCTTTGGGCAAGTGATGCAGTCGCAGCAGCGATTCCAGGATGGATTGACGACAGAGAGTTGACCAGGAAGGAGTGAGCAAAAGTGGCACTACTCGCTACGTCTTCGTGGGAAATGCTTGGTATGTAGTCCGACTGCAAGTGGCAAGAGCTCGGGCAATGGGAGGAGACTTGTCGTGAACAAGGGTGTGGACAAGAGAGGGGGCTTGGGTTGTAGCTTCCTGTTACAGAGCCCTTGCATGGACCTGAGGCGCTCTGAACAGGGCAGAGACGAGCCACCACTGTACGTTGAGGGCCATGGCCATTCTTGAGAATGGTGTAGCGCAGAGGGAGTGATCGACTACGTCGCTAGTTTCTGTCTGCTAGCCTATGTTTAGGTGTTTTTGCTGGCTTACCAGCTTCTGCAGCCTTCAGGACAGTAGATTATCTCAGACGATGGACATGCATGCACAACGTGGGACTGGGCAGTGTTTCCCTAAATTAGTCGGACAGCACACCAGGAACGAATGTACGAATGTACGAGTATAGAGAGAATTCCTCCAGAGAATTGACGAAACTGGCTAGACCAATTGCTCGCGGCCGATGCGTAAAAGTTGGTCGGGTCAGTTGCCACGCTGGAGTCAGCAGCCCGGGCACATGATGGTGGGTCGGGTCACCTGCTTGGTCATTGGAGCGGCGCGGCTGGCCTCCTACATCGCTGATTCTGGAGAGTCGCAATCCGTCCAGAACCGTATAATATCGGTTTCGAATGGTGACACTGCAATGCGAAAGACACCTTATCGAATTCCACATTCGACCGATGTTGTGGCAATCCAACGACCGCGCCATCCTTGGCACGGCCCGGCGCCAACGCCAGCCAGATGGCGCCGCTCGTTTTCCAAGCCATCAGCCTCCTGAACGGACCCACACACACCCAGACGCCGAAGCTGGGATCTGACCAAGCTGCACAGCGTACTTATTTCACCTTACGCCCCGTACCGGGTGTAAGAATTGCGCTTACAACACCCACAGGAAAGCTCCAAAACCGTGGAAAGTTGACTGCCGGCCGATCAAAAGGTTGTACATCGCTTCAGGGATTCAGGAATCCGCTGGCCCTGCACAACAGCAGGGTGGGTCTCCGAGCAACGACTCAACTGGTATACATAGTACTTGTCAACACCTTACGCCCTGTACCGTCTCTAAGTTGAGGCTGCTGAAAAGCTTATGTTTGGGGGGGTGATCTGCTATCGTAGTTGGTCCAAGTACCTGATTTTTGACAGGCGCAAGTACTACGGCGACTGGGGCTGCAAGTTCATCCAGACGAGGCGGGGTTCGAAGTCGGTGCGCGTCGCCCGTGTCGGCCTCGGGTTGCAACGTCAAGCTGTCTCGACATCCAAATCGACCTTTTGAATTCCGGCACACACTCCCAAGAGTCCTGATTTAATGCCCTTGTCAAGACAAGCGGACGCATACAACACGCACTGCGTCCTTCCCCGGAGTCCCCTTGAAGCCGTATGTCCTTGCCCTCTGCCCCTGATCATTCGCCATCTTGCGTGTGCTCGAAGGAAACAGCATTATGAGTATGTACATTTGAGCCTAAACCTAATGAGCGCTGGATTCTTTATAATTTCGAGTCCGAAAAGCCGTCAGCCGTCAGACTTTCCCATGGTCCACGGTCCACGTGCACTTGCCTGCTAGTAAAAGAAGTCAGCACCCCCCATTACGCTATACAGGGTTCGTCCACCCTATTACGCATGTCCTCAGCGCGAATATCATGGCAGTACGACAAGACACCATCGCCATAACGCTCATGGCCGTTACACTTGCTATTCGGAGTGCCAACCATGCGGCCTTCGCCGTACCCTCCTTGAGGAAGCCGTATGAGCCCCTGGCCTCGATGAAGAGCAAATGGTTCAACATCAGAATCTTTGCGATCGAGATGCTCCATCTTGTAGCTTCCGTCGTTTTGTTTCTCTTGAACATCGACAAGCCGGTTGTCTTGCTTCTCGGCACAGGCTGGAACTTTGCAGGAGAAGTGAGTCGGCCCCTTCTCGCGGACATCAGTAGCTGACTGACATCCTGAAGAGGCTGTTGTGGCATCGTCTCGTCAATTCAGAGAGCTGGCTCTGGTGTTTGGCGTTCATCAGCCCGGTATACTCTGGTCTCGTGGTCACCACCGGTGTGCATGTCCGACCACATCAAGCTGCCCAGTACTCGACACTCGCTCTCCTGACACTCGCCGCAACCTCAGCCGTGCTTTGCGCTTTCGACTCTTTCCTTGACTCTCTTAAATCCGATCAATTGGGCCAAGGGACTGGCGCTGAACTTTTTCATCGATGGTACATCTTTCGCCAAGTCGTGACTTTGAACTGGAAGCCACGTCAAATGAGAAGGCAAACCGTTCTCTTGGCCTGTTACATGGTCCTCATGCTCCTATTCTCTTGTTCTATCTGGCTTGCTCTTCTGGTCCCCAACGAGGACTTCCACTTGGTGGGCATTTACTCCTCTTGGTTCCTGGGTCACGCATTTGCTGACATAGCAGGCCGTGTTCTTGGTGTCTACCGTCATTTGCAGTGTATCGCCGTTGCACGCTCTGGGACGAAGACTCTCCAACACTTCTGGAAAGGCTTCTGGGCAGACGGGAAGGACTTGTGGATGGTCTTTAAAGCTGGGGAGTAAGGTCGGACGGCATTATCGATCAGGCGACTCGAACGTGAAGTTTTCCTCCTCAAGCACCGTCCATCATCTCGATTCCGCTCATGCATAATGCAATTCCATGAACTGAGTTGCTGAGGTTACCCTCCTTCTCCGTGAGGTTTATCTCGCAAAACGACGTATCACACCCCCTTCCCGCTGATGCCCTGGCTCAGCGCTCCACCACCCATGAAAATGACCAGTCTGCTCGTGCCGCCCGACGCGTAGCCCGGGATATTCCTGTACGCTGGTCTGTGCTGTCGCGGTGAATCCGCCACCAAATTGGCATGGTGTCCCGGCGACAGAGCAGGCACACAGCCCAGTCTCAGGTCATACAAGTGACAGCCCTGGGCCCTCGGTCGACCCGGTGCGCACCCACGTCTGGGCAGCAGCGTATAAAAGACACAAAGGCCAGTGGACCCTAGAGCATTAGTTGTAGTCTTTTAAGCTAGCCTGTCTCTCAGTCACCAGGGCTGATGACCTTGCCTCCATCGCACCGCATTTCGCCAACCTTTTACCATGTCTTGTTCGAAGTGCCAACGCAGCTTTCCGGAGACCGCAAGAGGTCAGAAGCAATTGGAAACGCACTGCCGATACCACAAAGGGGAAACGGTCTATGTCTGCATGAGTGATGCGTTTGCACCTGGTACCCAGGCCGGATGCGGCAAGTCGTATGTAAAGAAGTCTAGCTTGAGAGCCCACTGGACTCGTGAAAGGTCCTGCCATCAGGGCCTGATCATGCTTTCAAGCGACCTCCCTGAAAAGCTTTTGGTGAGTCTTTAACGTCCATAGCAATTCTAACAATCTCTAAAGAAGCAACAGTCGGGTAATCCGCCTCCCCATTCTCAACAGGCTATCGACGAAGCACAGCCAAGCTCGCATCAACGCAGAGAGCCAGAGGTGACTGCGAAATCGGGGACAATCGCAGAGTCTCGATCTAGGCCCAAAAGCGTTGCAAAGCGAATGAAGAGAATCAAGGCCAGACTCAAGAAGACTGAAGAACAGATCAACTACCAGGATGCTGGTATGAAGCAAGCTCAAGCGACCTGTACGTCGCTACAAGAACAGTTCAAATTGGCTATAGCCAACCAAAACAAAGGTTTCAAGGAGATCAAAGTTATGATATCGAGAATTGAAGCTCGCCTCGCCATTTCGACGGCCTCCCATCCTGCTACTCCTGAAGCTCTCTCCTGGTCGCGTCAGCCTCCCCCAACCAGGCCAGCAAACGCTGGGGCCAATCGTCCGCTGCCATATCCGAACGGATTTTATGAACAGAGCTGGCCCAACCATCTAGACTTGCGTGCTCCGCAGTCAAGCGTCAACATTGTGCGGCCTCCGCAACAAGGGGTGCTCTCACACAGCACACCACCGAGCGTCGAGGCCGGCGCAAACCAAGCTTCAGCACCGTATCAATTAGGCGGTAGGGGAGAGAACATTGACACCTCTTCGAATATTTCTCAGCAATATAATGGGACGGAAATCGTGAAGGGCGTTCCTTATTCATCAACTTTCGAGGTGCCAGGAGGCGGGCTCTCGATTTGATCAAATCGGATATCAGGCTCGTCTTATCAAAATACATGAACTTTTCAGCGTAAGTGATTCAGACGATAACCCTGAGCTCAAGTCTCTGTGCTCAGACCATCCTGATGACTTCTTGTGGTGAGGCAGGAACTACCAGAGCGTTACAGGCGAGGGGTGTCTAGCCTTGTTCGCCACGTCCTGGCCCCGCAATCCCCGACCAGCCAGCTTCTCGGGATAGGCTGATTTGCAGGATATATTCATAGGCGCGTTCTGGACGGCCGATGGAAGTGCAGAGTCAAGGCATGATTGAGATGAGTAGGAATCATCCATGATGAAGTTTGAGCAAGGCTGGCGGCGACAGGAGGGATATCACGAAGTGAAATGGAGCTCTCTTCGTACGCATTCTTGTCTATTTGCAAACTCTGAAGCGGCGAATCACGTATCGATACATTCCATTTAAGCTTTGTTCAGCCCCGTGACATGGGAGGACGGTGCTGGTGCTTTTGCTGGTGCTTTTCTCAATTCCACCCAACATCGCCCCTCACACTTCTGCACAGCATCGACAGTACAAGGCGGTAGTTCAGTGGTGGCTGAAGGTCTCGTTGTTATTAGGGTGTATTTCACACACCGTTCGGCTTCCCTGTGCTGCTTGCACGATTTTCACATCACTATGGGTGCATGAGGTCGCGCCTGTACAGACGTCATGCCTGGGTTGAACATTATCTCTCTCAGCAGTTCTCAGGGTTTTGCCACACTTGGACGTGAAATGTCATCTGGTCGTTAAATTGTTTTATAGGCTTTGAGGGGATACCTGTCGCGAGTCATTGAACATACCACGCTGTTCCGTGTCTTGCTCTTCATATGCACGTATGTTTTACTTGCCCTACAACGTTCGTTATATGCCCTTTGCTCGTCGTCTGCTGTTTGTTTCTGGTCCACTCCTTTGTCTCTGTAACTGCTATGAGCTAGAAGTAGTGAACCCTATATAGTCTACCTATGCCGAGGCACAACCTCGGTCGACTGGCTGGCCGATCTCGAATTCCCTGATCGGCAGACTGCTCTTAGGCGAGGATTCGGGCAAGGATTCTGAGGTCAAAGCCGAGCGTCACCCACCCGGCCTCTTTCGCCCACTTCCTTACTTCCACCCCAATACCAACGCACTACATGACACTGTACGCAACATCCTCGACAGAACGATGACAGAGCGATTTGAGGACAGCGCTCCGGACGTCGCGCCGAAGCAGCGGAGGATTCGTCGCACGGCTACTGATATCGCCAAGAACAAGCGCACTGATGCTGCTGCAATAGCCGAATTCGCTCTCAACCACCGAATTAAAGAGAACAGGCGCTCATCCGATCCGAGCCATACGAAGCGACTCGCCCGGCACATTTCCCAGCTGCGATATGCTCAGACTGATGGCATAGCGGAGCTACCTCTCGCTGCAGTCGTTGATCTGACTCGGTCTTTCACACCCTCGGAATGGATGGCCATAGAGAATAGCCCAGATCAGTTCAGGCGTGCGATGGAATTTTACAGAAACGAGGTCCTCGAACTTGATGCCACCTGGATGACGTACTACAGAAATCTCGATCCACGATGTGCCCGACTCTGCCTCTTAGGTATGCTTGCTTTGATCATGTAGATGACATACACTGCTCTTAACACCGACACAGAAGTAGTTCTTGACGCTTGGAAAGGAGACGTCGGCGCAATTCTCGCTGACATGGCCAAAGTATCTAACAAGGCCTCTTTCCATCAAGTGAGGGTTGAGGGACACGATGACTCGTCGCAAAGCACCTCGATACAAGCGACATCACACGCCGGAGCATCAGGGTCCGACAGGCTGATCCAGGTTAGACAAGATATCGCTACTGCGGAGGGCATTCAAGAAGACCAAGACGACCAAGACAACCAAGACGACCAAGACAACCAAGACGACCATGCTGCGAACGCCCAGCGTGATATCGTCAATCGAGCCGATGCCTTGTGCAGGCAGACGCAACAGGGCAGTCTTCTTCAGCCCAAGGCAACCAACGGGCTGGACGATGTGATGAATCACGCAGCGGTGCAAGTGGCTTTCAACCATGACGAATACAGGGAGGACATTGAACAGGCGACGGCGGACAACCTTCGACGTGAGCTAGCGATGCGCGCGATGGCTCAAGGTGACCCCCCTTCCTCGAGAGCACAGTTGGCGAAGAGGCTGCGGGAGACGACGAACCACAGTATCAGGCATCTCCATCGGTCGGCTCTTCATGGGATCGGTATGTTGCCAGGTAACTTGGATTACATATTTCAAGAGTTGCGTGCATCATTCCTATCGTCGGATACTTGGGTCCTCGAGCGCATGTTGAGATTGGAATGTTCTACTTGTATATCGGTGGATATAGATACCATCGGCGACTACGAGTTCAAGATCAAGGTGAACAGGTATACTGGATTGGGGATTGTTCAAAGATACTGCTTGCCAACACTTATTAGAGGTCTCGAATAATCACTGTGGCGTCGTACAAATCTATATATTGCCCTTTGACTGCTTGACCACTCCCTGTCTTGTTGTTCTGCCATGCTTGCCATATCGTGTCGTTTTTGTCTCTGATTTGAACACCGCCTTTTAGCACCTCCACGATAATAGAGCTTGTGACATTGATTCGCTCTATGCGCCAACAGTACTCTTGGCCTCGCTTAAGGTCTTCGCTGTCCTTGAACACATTAGTGCGTGCGCGATGAGAAATTCCCTCTCGTGGAGCGTACAATCATGGCTAGAAGGGCTGCTTTTTGTGGAAGCATCATTCCGAGGGCAGTCAACGATCCTCAAGAGCACGGCCTGGAGATCGTGATGCCTTTGCAGGCCTCTAGTCGTATTCCAATGCCGTCGGAACAACGTTCTCTCGATGCGGGGTCGGATATACCTCGGCGGCCTGTGGAAAAGTGTGTGTGGTCCGTGCACGAATCAGCTCACATCGCACGTCATCAGGACGGAGGATGACGGCGCTGTCTCCTCATGACATCCCGTACAATGGCTGTCGTGAACAAAAATTGTCAGACGCTTGCAAGCGACAGGGAAGGAATCATCGCCGAGCTTTTGGCGCCGCGGCGTCGGCGGCTGCTAAGAATAGTTGTCGGAAGCGGGGTTCAGACTGGCGGGCCCTGCTGGACGTCGGCCTGTGCGGTTCGGGGCCGAATCAAAGAGCATGGAAGTGGGGCCTGCACCGATGGTCACGGCCGGGTGCCGTCCTGGATGCGGGTTCCCGACGCCGGACCCTTGTGCATAGGGTCAAAGACAAAAATAAGTCAGGAGAGGACAAAGGCACCGGTAGGTTTGCCCGTCTACTTATATAAAGCTGGCTGCGATCGCTTCTTTTTCTTCTTCATTCCAAAGACTGCGCTAGGTCCGATACCTTCATCGCGTCTGGTCTTCTGCTTCTCCTGCCTCAGTGTTTTTCTTTTGACAGGTGCTGAAGCATCCGAATTCTCCATCAAGACACGGGTGTTCAGAGATAAGTCATCCACAGAGGGTCACCCGCCATCCCTTGCTCGCGTCCTGCCTCGAGATCGTGATGCCGTTGCAGGCCTCTAGTCGTATTCCAATGCCGCTGATGCCGGGGCACGATGGCCGTCTTGAGAAGTCGCGGCGTGCCCTTATGCGAGGCATCCTTGGAATCCCTGCAGCAGCTGTCTATCATGCGGGCGGCACCCTCGTCGACAGATTCACGCGCAGCCGGACCTCTCTCAGCCTTCCATTGTAGAGGCACCAAAGGCAGCCTGTTCGATGGCCGATCAAGCTGCCCTGACATGGAACAAGAGCCGTCTACATTGCACCACGCACGAGCTCGTGCCTTGATGCTGGGAGACGGACACTTTCCTCCGGTCACAGAGCTGCCGCTTCCGTCCACTTTGCTGATACAGGGATCGACGGCGCCGCACGGAATGCCGTGGAGAGGCCCCCTACTTGATGGGCGTACACAATGCATGACGGTCGTGGTAGCTGATATCGAGGCGGTGGGGCCTGTACCAAAATTTATGGGCCGCAGACAGCCCCTGGCGTCGTGGTTGAACCACAGCGACGACGACTAGCGGTGCAGCAGAAGCCGTCGTCGTCTAGTGTGGAGTATGATGTTCGTCGAGAGAGCAACATGGATTTGGGTCATTTCTGAATGGGTACACTAGAAGCGTTCATTGTATGTTGGTTCCCGCGTATGTAAACCCGCTATCCACTCATTGTTAATAACAATAAATGCATCACGATCAACAGTCTCCGGTGCCCCCTGGTCCGACGTGCAAAGCGCTCCGCCGTGGCTTGACACAGCGCTGTCCTTTGGAATTCAATGGGATACTTTTGGCAAAATCAGCTCAGATCTGAGACGTTTCAAACGTAGGACTTTCACTGCGCCGCATCACATCGTGCAGCATGGCTCGCGAGCTGTCATTCAGAGACAATGGACTAAGTCTTTCATCTCTGATCGCTCAACCTTGCAGCGTTGAACACCATGCTTTCGTAGCCGACTAGTCTTTCCGCTTAGCTCAATCAATCAAAGAGTAACAACAGAGGGCTGTCTGGGGCGTCCAAAACTTTCCCTCTTCGGCGAGACGCGATTGCTGCGTAAGCAAGCGAAGTCTGCTCGATAGAGTATGATAGACGACGCGTGTCGGCGCGCAATAACACATGGTGGCAGGGCTGGCTCTCTAAGGCGATGCTAGCCTCAACAACACCAAAATGTTGAAGATGATGGTTATTTGTGTGGAAGACAATGTGGCCGAAAGGATACATCCAGGGGTCTATGGCGCTCAGCGTGATCGCGTCACAGGCTTGCCAACCAGAAGCGAAACCATCATCATCCGTAGTGGAAGAGAAACGAACAGGGGTCTGGAAACCACCTCCACGACAATGAAGTGTCACTGAAATGGCAGATAATGCGTTGCCGTTGCTGTCGACGACTTGGCAAGTCACCGAAACCATGGCTGGCGGACTGTTGAACAAGAGTTCCATCACTTGGGCGCGCGACATGCTATTCATGTTAAATACGTTGAGAGCTTCGGTACTACACACAGCAGTCTTGTCGCTTTGCAGCGTACTAGGGTGGCATGGCAATGGCCACGCGACAATCAGTTGCCATAACCTTTAATCAAGCGGGGCCCAATATTCAGATCCGAAAGGCCCCCTCTTACTTTACAACATGGGCGCTTGGAGCATGACAGTTAGACTTGAAGCCTTTCTTGTACAGTAATCCGTCACCGGCCAGAGGCAAACGGCCGAAAAGAAGGAGCAGAGACATTCAAATTGTCGTACGACGGGTTCAAAAGTGAAATACGACTATTCGCCAATGTTCAACAGCAGCACGCGGCAAACGACAGTAGTGCAGGCACTGGCTTTCCGTATAGCTTTGAGCTTCTAATTGACCGTGGAACCCATCCTCTCGGCAGCAGCCTGTCTACATTAAAATAGGGCATACACCCTCTCAGTCTAGCATAACGCAAGTGGGCGCCCATGCCTCCTGCGAAACGTTGTTCTAGTGCTAACACGGGCGATAAAAAAAAAGACCTCAGTCCCGACCGGAAGCCTCATAAACTATGTAGGATGCGTTCCAGCTACTCGACGCCAATAAGTTGGCTCGACGAGCGTCACCCATGTATTGGGCGAGTATCCAAAAGTGGGAATAGAGCGCGCGCTTGATGACCACTGATGGGTGCGCAGCAACACAGTTGTTGTATGTTGATTCCAGCTCCGATTTCAAATTACACATTTGCTGCAGTCTGGCTGAAACCCGGATACGAATGGGGAGGGACAGGGAAAGATTGTTACCCCATGCCGCTGGCTCTGTACAGTACTGTACAGTGTTTCCTGGCGTTCACGGATGTATTTCGAAAGCCGAGATCGGAAAAGGACTGTGTCCACTCTGCCCTCATCGTCTCCCTCGGGTACAAAACCAACAAACTTGATAGTTACCAAGACACGACCGGAGTGCACACATCGCGTATCCTTTCGAAAGCGAGTTTCCTTCCAGTGGCCATGCGTACCGAGCCATCCGTGACAGAAAAGAGCCTTCCGGCCTTGCCATCTAGGGCGAAGCAACAGCACAAGGAGGATGACCGAAGTCGACGAATGCGCGACCTGCACAAGCTGTGGAAACGCCCGCCAGTGACGTTCGCGTCCAGCGAGCCTGCGGAGGAGATTCTTAGCCTCGAAGAAGACCCACCGCAAAAGGCCCAATTGCTACGAAGAGACAATGAGACACTAAGGCAAGAAGTAGCAATGTTACGTGCAGCACAGCGCACCGACAAGAATCGTATCGAAGACCTCGTCCAAGAGCTGGACCGCGCACGTCATGACAATGCGGAACAGAGCCGACGAATTGCAAGAGTGATTAGCGCCGTCAACAAGGCATTTTCGGAATACAAAAAGTGGATGCGAAAGTCGCTGGAGATGGAGTCGGCAGAGATATCGTCGTTGTCCAGTGGCGATTCACAGGGCATGATTCCCATAGGCCGAAGTGCCTTCTCCGATGATGATGACGATAGTCTGTATAGTTCTTGCATCTAGTGCTATGACGAAGACGAGTAGCTCACTGGAGACGGGGCCGGGGGAGAGGGGTTCTCTGATGGAGCGAAGGAAGCAGCTTCTTGACTTTGCAGCGTTGTGGGGGTTCTAGGCTTTAGAAGCTGAGTCTAGAGACGTTGGAGCGGCTAGTTCGATTATTTTGAAAAGAATAGCTTTGTTAACAAGATCCTTCGCACGCTGATCGCCGTGAGCATGTCAGTTTCACTGCAACTTAGAGTAGCGGAAGGTGCCTAGGCGGAACAGACACAATGGCAGCTGCCTTGAGGTCCACATTTGCGTTACTTTTGTAGATCAGCCGCTATCTCGCCCGGTACCACACTACTGTGACGAGATATGAGGTGTCCATAGCGAACTCGTTGCATTTGTAGTCACATCAGCGGAGGAGACTCACAGGAGTACGACGAGAGCCCTTATCAATTATTTTTCCATGTCATCCAGGTCTGCAGAATCAATCCCAGCACGGCTACAGCTTATTGTGGCGCTGGCGTCTGCAACCACCCTCTCGCAACTCCAATAACCGTGGCTGCCAAACTTCAAGAGGCAGGCTGTTTCAGCGAGCTACGACTTCCTGAGGCCACCGCGAAGCGTATTCCTGGCTATTGCCACCATAGGTTCGCTAGATTCCCCTCGGATCTGCAAAGCTACCCCTGACTTGACTTTATGATCACCTCCAGAAGAGTTGATATGCTCGCCGTAGCCATCCTCAACCAAGCAGGCCGCCACATTGAAGGCAGCTGGTTTCAACCTGCAGCATCGGTCGGTTTGCACAGATGCGGAGATACAGTTGAGACGCAAAACACCAGCAGACCATTCATTATACGCATGCGCGGTGGGCCACAATGGAAGTGTACCAGCCACGCCAACAGGGCATGGGCTGAAGAGACAGACGAAAGAGTACGGCTGCCGTCTAGACGCGTTGTGGCTTTGAATAGTGCGTTGAATCTTTCGAATCGCTTCCATCGTGTCTAAGCGTCTCGAGGTGGTGAATATAGATCCATCTGCTGCGATCGTATCAGGATAGGCCGCCTTGGCTTATGTCTCGACCATTACATTGCCCAGCCGCACGCCGTGCTTCAAAATCGTCGTGCCCCACCGCCAATCCCGATCAGCAAGCCCGACGCCGATGTTGGGGGAGTCCGCGCAACATGTCACTTGTAATAATTGTTATCATTCCGATCCCGTATTTTGCCCTCTGAAGGTCATAGCCATCACGACATCGTAGAGCGTCAACAATCTGATACTACCGCTCGAAGCTTGAGGGCCTTGAACACAAACACAAGAAATCCATATGAAAGCATCTAAGGCATACCGCTATCCCTCATTCTAGCTTTTCAATCAAAGGTTGACCAGATCAATGCGGCCTGCGCTACCGTCGAAGCTTTGCCAGCAGGCCCCTACCAACAACACGTCTATCTTTCGACCTACGCTTGCGATCACTAGATCTCTGCTATCCATCCACTGCATGAGCTCCGCCATTGTCATACCTGCCGTCCTTGATATACTCGTCTGCACTATCGTCTCCGCTGGACTCCGAACTGGACTCATCCTCGTTCCTGTCGTCGAGCGAGCGATGGTGCCTCCCGGGGACAGACCTGAGTTTACCATCATCTGCAACAGCTGGAACTGTCAACAGCCATTCTTCCTCATCCAACTTCGTTTTCGTGTCCAGACATTTCTTCCACCAATCGTGTTGAACAATCTTGATGAATTTATGACTCATATTTGGGCTTTTTTGCAGCTCTCTGTTGTACGAGCACACAATATCGATCAGAGCAGACCTTTGTGGGACTTCTGATTCAGAGATACATAGGTGCGTCATGCCGTCGAGGTTGTCACCGCTAAAGTCCAAACTCCCTCCAAGTCTAACGATGGCATTGCGGACACTATTCAAGTTATCCGTCTCCTTGCTTGTTGGATATGTCGGCGTGATGGCGATTAAGCATCCGTCTAAGACGAACGGCGAGCTATCGCTTTCCGGACCTATTCCATACTTATTGGGGTCCAGAAATTCATGCTTATCCCAGGAATCAAACAGCCAATTCAAGCCAACCAGGAAACTTTCTTGCTGAGAAGCACCGAGGACTTGTCGGTTGCAATACCGCAGTTGGTGGTGCGTAGTGCATACAACACTCGTGGAGGCCCTGACGCGTTTATGATACACGGCACCCAGCTCCTTGATCCAAGATTTGGCCTCCTCAAGCGTCACACCATCAGTAGGCATGGACGCGACGATGGTAACGCTGTTGATGGGTATCATGGTAAAATGTGATGCAAGATTGAGTTCGGATAGGGAAGGATGGCTGTTTGCTTCAACTGAAGATTCTAAGGTTTAGTTAGGTGACAGAAAACATTGGAAAATTTGTAGCTCCCAGCCGTATCGCAAAGGTTTGTCCACAATTAATTGTTAAATCATCCAAATTTCGGTTTGAGGCGTCATGACATTCTCTCCGGCTCAATAAAACATGTTGCTCACGGACTTTCCACATCAGGAAGGGGCATTTAACAATTCAATTACGGGAGGGTTCTTTCCATCATGAGTGCACATATGATTAATCAAATTTAGGTATTCGCCGGGACTAGCTGGGTCATTTCCAAGAGCATGTGCGCAGATGGAACCGTGGCCTCTGACAAGTGCGTGGCTTGCCTCCCCTCACTCTTCTCGAGCCGCTACAGCGCTTCTTTCAACACTGCTTTCCTTGCTGTGCATCCTCTCATGTGGATAGTCGCGGCCGCACAGGCAACCAGTGCCGCCCTCGAGCGTCTGGAAGTCAAGTGGCTACGCCAGTGAACTGTACGATAAGTACAAAGTCAAATCCGGCTCTACCCTTTCATTGAGCCCGTGCGAAGTTTATTTTTACTTCTGACTTCGTGGAATGGACACCAATGACCGCATAGCAATACTTAAAAGCAACTTGGGCTGTTGCGACGCGCTGTTTTCTCATTTCTCTCGCAAGCCTGCCTTCAACTTTCTGCCATGATTTCCGTGACCTGCCAAGTGCTTGACAACGACGGCCTTCCGCTCGAGGGACTGCAGGTACATCTTGAATGCGTTGCCGGCGTGCGTCCCGACACTCGTTTTGAAGCGACAACGGATGAAGACGGACGTGTGACGTACTGGAATCAACGCCATGCGGAGGCCTTACTCACCACAGAGGGAGAGCTTCTACCTGTCTATGTTGAGCCTGGCTCGTCCTCTTCACTGCGACTCATATTCCTGACGCAGGGCCTACACGGCTGTGCTTACAATCCTTTGCCAACTCTACAATCAACCCTTGATGTGAGCGCTTGGTCCTCCCACCACATTCTTCTATGGATCAATCGCGCACATCCCAGCTATCGAGTCCAACACCTGATCGAGCGTCCGAGTTCTTGGTTGATTGAGAGCACCGGCGCCCTGTCTGCGATGGTCAGCAGTCCCTCATCAAGTACTGCCACGAGCCCTTGCCAGTCTCCGCCCGGCCAAGTCACACACGCAAGCGAAGGCAAGCTCGATTCGCCTCCTCTACTCACGTTGTCTTCGCCCATCCTCCCCATGGCCAATAACATGTGGACTTGTTCCGCAAGCCGCCCCAGAAAGAGGAAGTCTCCATGGGATGAGAAGGACGGACCGGCAATGAAGAAGCAGTGCTCCGGGTACATCGACTGCATCAGCTCGGCGCGTCAGCACATATGATCGAATCTGTCGGCATTGCGCTTGCGTTGCTTTCGTATCATGGCCACCATGGGGGACACGTCTTCCTCCTTAGCAATAGAGTCTAGAAGGGAAAGCATTGGATTATGTGTCAATTGGTACTATGATAGCCATTAGTACATGTGCTTGAAAGCCGTGATGACCAAACAATTGAATCGATTGAGTTCTCAGACCTGAAGAAGGCCTTGTTTCGTTGACCAGCGCACCAAACTAGCCGCTCGCCAGGGCTGGGGTGATGAGCCAAACAAACACTATTGGTAGATGTCTTACCGCAAGCTGCCAGCGCTGTCAACTCTACCGTATGAGCTGGCTCATCGAGTAAGCGCGCTCTCCGGCCGGTTGCATTGCCTTCTCGGTTGAGTTGCTCTGCACTGCAAGGGACGTCCTTTGTATAGTGAGGGTTCAGGGTAATGATCTCGCCGTCTACTCTGATCGTTAGGGTCACTTGCGCGCCCAAATGATGCAGCTCAGCAGCCTTCTTCATGAGGACTACCGATCGGGTTCTGATGCTGCGTGGCGCTTTGCGAAAGATCTTGCTTCGAGGGTCCATACTGTCCTTGCAGAGAACGGAGAAGATCCGGGACGATTTCAAACGAAGGAAGAGAGGAGGAGATGCCGCAAAATCAATCAGACATATTTCATACGAGAAAACGTACTCCAACCAGTTCGTCCTTATATCTGTCGGCTGTCCGAAATAGCGCTTCCATATCCAATGCAAGCGCCGCCCTCAATGTGCGCCAATCAACGGCGTGCGCCGGTGCCACTAGCTCGCTGGGTTATGCAGCTTTGTGAATGGTTGTCTATCTCCCGCTAGCTTTTAGGGGTAAGGGGCTGACTGTTTACCAGGCGCTTAGCTGTGTTTTAGAATTCTCATGGCGACTTACTACTTTAAGCCTCTGTGCTGCATGGGACCCGCGTCCGTGGACCAGCATAGCCTCTGGGTGGCTCATCGAGAACAGCATCACTCTTGGCGTACGAGACCCTTGGGACCGTTCTGACTGGCCTGTCCTGGACAATTGATGGCGTTTCGCGGAGGAAGTATGGGAGACCGAAAAGCGGCACTTATTTCCCGTCACAGACATGCAACTAACAACAATGACAATAAAATCGAGATGCAAGTGAAGCAAAGGCACGAGGCCTAAGCCAGTCAATTGCACAACTCCCAAATTTGTGGGTATACTGGGGTGATTATTTCATCGTATCAAGATGAAGGAGGAAATGATTCAGCGTCCTGGCAAAAGTTTCTAGACTGAGTGGTTGATAAGCCGCGCACATATCGCTATCGAGAAGGAACAACGCCATGGCTAGTAGCGGTGGGTATCTGATGCGGCAAGACGGGAAACTGCTCATGGTGAGTGGGCTTCGTTTCATCTTCTCTTGGCGGACTAATCTCTTGAGGTTGTCTACCCGCGCCGCCCTCCTCCCCCGTCCCCGGTTGCCTCGTCTCTGCTGTAGGGCCGTTTACGATAGGTCTCCGTGATGAAGGGTGGAGCGGACATTCCATCCAAATTTGATTGCAACAGTGAGGCCTTGGGAGAAATGGCTTTGGGGCTGTGCCGGGGTGGGTCGGGCGCGGATCTCGAGACTTCGGCGCTGAACGTCTACATCGTCTTGGACGGGTAACCGTGATCGTTTAACAGAGGATGTTGAGGGTGTCGGATCGTTCTTGGGCACGTGCAGCAATCTTGTTGCATCTCTCCTCATCAAGGCCGAGGATGTGTTCGGGGGCTTCAAAGAGGAGATCGGGAAGCTCGATAGTCGTCAGCAGAATTGTTGACAGGAGTCGGAATCAGCGGGGAGAGATAGATCATCATCCTAGAATTTGGCTAGATATGCAAGGGCGACAAAACTCGGCCTCGAGACAATTGAAGCTCTTCCTAACATCGCATTCCAGATGCTTGAAACGGGAGTTTAGTTCCTAAATTTGCTCTTTTACGCCGTACTCAAAGTTGTTAAGGTCGTACTTGACTTGCTTCATGGAGGATGGAGGGTGACGAACACTGCGGAGAGATAACCGTCTGGGCGGTGGCAGGCGCTGAAGTTGTCACGGGTAAGATAGGGAGAGGGAGGAGGAATGGGACATTTACAGACAACGTCGATGGATTCCCCGGATCCAGGAAATCGCATCACGTGACCACATCCCGAGATCGGATGTGATAGGCTGCGGTCTCGTCAGCGAAAGATCATCCTAGCGCATTACTCGACGCGCAGGAGTCGATGCCATAGGTGCTCCGCCGCCGTAGACTCCTCAAGGATAAAGGCCACAGCACGTTCCGACGACCCGTCGATCAAATCTCGTTCTATGACTAAGCAGGCCCACTGGATTTATTGTCAAACAATTCGCTGGTTATAGGCATCACAGTAGCCATGTGGCTGACACAGTGGGTAGACAGGTCGATTAGGTACAATAATGAAATTGGATGTAGTTCATGTCAGATACTCGATGCCTCACGTATCGTATTCGTCACTTCTGGCCGAGTCCTCACATTAAAAGGACCTCTTGGTGGTTGTAACTTGGTTGATCCTTGTTTTGTACTGGTTCTGTCGAGTGACAAACTTAACCCCACTCCTTCACCGCCCTGCGGCAGAATGGAGAAATATTCAATAAACCCGATTTCAGACACGCTTAAAAGCGGATCCAAGCATCAATCCGACACACCCCCCCAGTTGAGGCCTCGCAGGTGGAAACTGTCAGTCTCCGATCTCCAGCTCTTCCATTCTTTCCCAAAGTTCCTGTTTCTCGATGGGCCGGAGTAGCCTTCCCTCCAGTCGATCTGAGATATCGATGAGTCCAATCTGTGCCGTGAAAATCTGGAGGCGTTGATGATTCAGGGGCTTCGTAAGTCCATCGGCGATCATGTTTGCCGTCGGGATATATTCCACCAGGATCCTGTTCTTCTGTGCTTCCTGCCTCAACCAGTGGTTGTGTATGTCGACGTGTCGAAGTTTGGTCCGCAATGTGGCGATGTCTTTGTTGACCAGTTTGATCGTCTGTTGGTTGTCACATCTTATTCGGATGCGTTCATCGTCCAAGGTAACCCCGAGCTCCTTGATGAGTCTAGAGACGAACATCGCTTCCTTGGCTGCCTGTGAGAGGGCAAGGAGCTCCGCTTCGGTAGTAGACGTGGTGACCGTTGATTGTTTATTGGCTCTCCAGCCGATTGTGCCGCCAAACAAGGTCATGGCGTAAGCTTGGGAGCTCTTTCGGTCAAGAGTATTGTCTGCGAAGGATGCGTCGCTTGCCATTGTGAAAACATCGTCTCCGCCGAACTGTAACGCCATCGTCTTTGTTTTCCTTAGATACAGCAGCACCTGGTCAGCTGCAGTATGATGCTCGGGTCCTGGGTTTGAGTTATGTCGCGCAAGTCGCGAAGCGGCGAATGCCACGTCTGGTCGTGTGATGACCGCAGCGTACAGTATTGAGCCGATCTTTCGCTGGTAGCTTCGGATTGACCCACAGCTTGCGAGTTCATCATGTGGCAGGAGTTCTTCCTGTTTCATCGGAACATCGTGCCGCAAATCTGTGCGGTCAATGAGGTTAGCAATCTTGTCAAGGTAATCGGATTGGGAGAGCCAGAGGAGCTTGTTCTCTCTGTCTCTGATGATTTCAACGCCGAGGAACCATTGCAATGGTGTTCCTCCTGTCAATTTGTACTTAGCTTGCAGCGCTCGTGTGATGCGCTCAACCTCGTCCTCCCTCTGCTTTCGGTATGCCAGGACAATGTCGTCGACATAAAAGAAGATAATGACACCGCCCTTGGTCATGCAGCAGGTCTCATGAGGAACGGGTTTGAATCCGAGTTCGGTCAGTGTAGCTGTGAGTTCCCTCTGCCACAGTAGTGGAGACTCTCTCAGCCCATAGAGCGCTTTCCGGAGCATCAGGATCATTCCTGGTTTCCGGTGCCCTGGTGGCATGCGCATGAAGACGTTCTTGTCCAACTTGGCGTTCACAAACGCGTTGACGGCGTCATACTGGATCAGTTCCAGGTCGAAGCGCGCCGCGACTGCCATGAGTGTCCGAAAGGAGCGCCCTGCTAGGGTCGCTGCGTATGTCTCTTCGTGAGTCGACTTACGTTGTTGGTCTCCTCTGACCACCAGGCGTGCTTTGCACTTCTGGAACTGTCCGTGTTTGTCAAACTTGTACACGTAAACCCACATGCAGTCAAGGATCTGATAGCCTCGCACTCGAAGGTCATGTTTGGAAATCTCCGCCCATGAGTTCATTTCTTCGTGGCTGCGCAGGTGTGCTGCTTCCGCCTCCTCAAACATTGTTTTCATGGGATGTGTTGCCAAGTCTCCATGGTGCTTGGGTAGTGGAGGCATCTGTCGCCTGTGGAGCGTCCTGGGATTTCGTAGCAGTCGAAGCCACTTGGCCTTGTCGATCTGTTCTCCGTCTATCGCGCCGAGTGGATTGGCCAGACGTCCAGCAGCAAAGGCAGCTTTCCACACCTCAATTGGTCCGGCGTTTCTGTAGATCGTTAATCTCTCCTCAGGCAGATCATCCGAGCCGTTCCGCATCACCAAAGACAGGAGTGCTGCCGGTGGAAGTGACACAGGGGTAGCGTATTCTCTAGCCCGGGCGTCAGAGTTCTTGGCTTGGTCATCGGTGCCGGCCGTAACCTGGCTCTCCGTGCCGCCCTCTGGTAGTCCCAGTGCGATTTCCGCATCCCCGGTTGACCCAAAGCGCTCGCCAGTCCTGGCTGGTTGATCAGACGCAGCCTCTGACGGTTCAGCTTCTGTGTCCCCTTCCGCTTCCTGAACGGCGAAGTCCTCCCAGTTCTCCTGGGGTTCAACGTCTTCGTCCTCTCCAGGAAGGCCCTCCCAAGTTCGTTGGGGTAGAAAGGCACCGTCAGGCACTTCTACTGCCTCGGTGGCACGGTCTGGTTCAGGCTGGTCTACCCTATCGAGTAGATGGATCAAGTCTTGCTGACTGATGTGGAGCAAATCATCCTTGAGCTGGTTCAAATCCCCATTGAAGAGTTCGTCTTCATTGAAGATGACGTCCCTCGTAGATATGATCCTGCCAGTATGTGGATTCCAGATTCGGTATATGTTCGTGGATCGGTATCCCACGAGAAACCCAATCCATGCCTTGGGGTTGAGTCTGTTTCTTTTGTGTACCTAGTTGCGCTTCCCGGGTCATGGCATAAGCCTTGCACCCATAGACGCGGAGGTGTGCTTGGTATGGCTTGCGGTTCTCCACGACAACTCCGTCCCTGTGTGCCAGGAATGTGTGAAATCCATCGTATGGAGTCCGCCAGCTGTAGATGTACTTCGGAGTCCGGTTGTGGAGGTAGACAGCGGCTCGGTATATCTCAACCCACAGGTGTTCCGGCAGTCTGGCGCCAACGCGCATCGCTCTGGCCTTCGTCTTAATGATGCTTCCAGACACCTCGGCACTCCCATTCTGGGCAGGTGTATACGGCGCTGATGGTTCGACCTTGATATGAAGCGTGCGGAGGAATGCAATGGTGGTGAGACTGTGCTTCATGATCTCATTGTCGCATTCAATGACCTTGGGGGCCAGCTCATACTGCCGCTTCAGGACGCCAAGCAGGTCCTTGATTGCCGCAGTCAGGACTTCCGTCCTTCTGTCTGTGAGGTAGTAGTCCCAGATCATTCCCGACCAGCGATCGGTGACGAGCATGACACTGCGTTGGCCCTCCTGATCCCTGGTCACATCATGAAAGTCGATGGCTAGTCGGTCGCCGGGCGCATGGCCAAGTTTCCTTGGTCGGCGACTGACTTGTCGTGTCATCTTGGAGAGTGCGCAACCGTCGCATTCCACGGTCGTTGTTCCCTTGACTCTCGCACCCCTGGAGGTGTTCGCTAGATGTTCAAGGGCCCGCGGTCCAGGATGGCCAAGTCGCAAGTGCCACTTCCGGGCATCAGCTTTGGAAGTACGCTCTGACCAAGAATCCGCTCGGTGTCGTCGGGTAACGAATGCGCTGTCAGGGCATCCCAGAGGTATGTCTTCGATGACAAACTGATCATGACGAACCGCCAGTCTGGAAACGATCGCATGATTCCGGTCTCGGAGACAGTTCTGCCTTGGGCGGTTATCCCACCAATATCCGCGTTTGTGCAGTTGACGTAACGAAACAAGGTTGCAGGGGAAGTTTTCGCAGAGAGCCACATCGCACAGTCTGATGACCTTCGGTCCCTTGGGCCCTCGAGTCTGGATGTCCACGATCCCATATCCACGGATGGGAACTCTCCTTTTCCCCGCAAAGACATAGTCTCCTTCTTCTGCCTGCTGAAACCTCGTGAAACGATTGTTGTTGTTGAAGATGTGAATGGTCGAACCTGAATCGAGAATGGCCGAGTTCTTGAGCGGGTACTGGGTGATGGAAAATGCAGCGTTGAGAGCAGCGACCACAAAGCTGGCAGTGCATTGTCCAACACCCCTCCCGAGTCATTCGGCTTCTTCCAGTTGGTTAACCTTCTTTAGACGGTTCACGTCATCTTTCAGACTTTTGTCTGTCCGTAGACGGCTGTCGACTGCTTCTCGAATCACCTTCCGTTCCCTGAAGACCTCCGGCGCCTTGGTCGGGAAGATGTAGTAGCAGTTGCCCAAGTCGTGTCTGCCATCGCACGCTCGACAGGCAGCATCGCCCCGGTTAGAGGTCGCGGCTCTAGTTCGTCGTGTTGTTGTCAGAGTGTCTTGCGCCTTCCGCTTGCGGGCCGTTCTCTCTTCTTCTTGCGGGCGTGAGGTGATGTTTTCGTCTTGGACGCCCGTTCCTGACCCAACTGATGATTCACCAGCAAATGTCGGGCCAAAGGAGCCTCTGACGATCTTGGGACGTTTTTCTTGTGGGTGGAGAAGATTCTGCTGCTCAGCCTCCGTTCGAAGGTCCTTGGCAACCTCTCCGATCGACAGAGTCTTGTCTTCGAGCTTGTCCTTGTAAATGCCCCTGTAGATTGTGACCCAATGGCCGAGAATGGGCCGAATGGCCTTGGTAAGGTCGTCGAACCAAGTGTTGGGGTCTTCGACACCTCCAGTTTTCCACACCAGTGCATGGCTGGTGGCTATCTCCCACGTGGTGATCCAGTTGGCAAAGTCTTTGGGCGCTTTAGTCAAGATGCTTGTAGCCTCTTGATACTTCCGGCGTGCGGCAGTTTGTTGTTCTCTGTCGGTAGTGCCCACGCTTGTCTTCAAGTTGAGGTACCACCTCCGTAGATCCCATTGTGGTCGACAGGAACTCTGCCGCAGACCGTAGTCAACCGTCTCAATAACCCAGGCCTTCAGCTTCTCGCAGTTGGTCTCCTGCTCTTTGTATTCCTTGTAATCTTGTTCGTAGACTCTCCATTCGAATTGAAAGGAGACCTTGTCCTCCGCGGTAAGCTCAGCGATGTTTCGAGCTCTCTGGTGTGGGTCGGTCGTCTCCGGCAGAGATACGATGGGTTCAGAAGACTGTTGGCTGATTGTCTGGCTGGACTGTCCACTCCTTCGGCCCCGCAACCCCGAATTGGCGTCCGGTTCTGTGGAGCGGGCAGGAACCCTCCTCGCATACTTGGAGAACTCCGGTCGTTGGGGCTTCTCCAGCAGGCTCTGTTCACTGTCTGGGTCGATATATTCCCATTGATGAAGACTTGTGGCCTTTGTCTGGAACTCTTCATCCCACCTGCCCCAGTCTTCGAAGGTCCGAAGTAAGGCTTTCGCGGTCGGATCGTTCGGCATCGCGTATCGTCGTCCGGCGCAGCGGCTCGTGAGCGTATGAGACTCTTAATTGTCAGATACTCGATGCCTCACGTATCGTATTCGTCACTTCTGGCCGAGTCCTCACATTAAAAGGACCTCTTGGTGGTTGTAACTTGGTTGATCCTTGTTTTGTACTGGTTCTGTCGAGTGACAAACTTAACCCCACTCCTTCACCGCCCTGCGGCAGAATGGAGAAATATTCAATAAACCCGATTTCAGACACGCTTAAAAGCGGATCCAAGCATCAATCCGACATTCAAGCCAGTCAGTCCGGGCGATGACATGACTCAAGGGCGCAATGATGCAACATTCGGTAGTGGAGCCACACTGTGTCATCAAGCTATTGTGATGCTAAGACCAGAAGGGATTTGGCGTCCATTTTGGGACACCTGACGTGCCCCATTCATCAGGAATCTTAACAAGCGCAGCTTACCGTCAGCATGGCAGATAGCCCGTGGGTTGGTCAATAACCGATGTGATGACAGCTTGAGCGGGGTCTACATCAGTACTGATGACCCTCTGCGTCGCACCAGCAATGTGCCCCGATGTCGAAAGGAGAATGTTACTTGTCATGAAGATGCGCTGATCTGGGATCACGTCTACAACACCATCGCCGAAGCCACTCCGCCGCCCCGAACGATAGCATTCTCTCTCCAATGAAGTCCATGCCTCCGCAACACTAGCGGCTTCGCGCAACTCGTCCGAGAAATCGAAAGGACGTGGGACCTTGTGCTCAGGGAGGAGCTCGGAACTATGTTTGTCGGGCTCCGTGGAATCCTGGATTCCACGAGGCATATTTCAGAGGTGTGGTCGGTCTTGATACAGCGTCTCAGGCAACATTCCAGAAGTGCGAGGAAGGCAGTAGCCCTCTTTCACAAGGAGTGGGTGGACAGGATGGCCGAACGATGCAAACGAAGACGGCCTGCTTAGCTGGTTCACGGATATCAACCAAAATCTGGTGGTAGTCCGTCGGCACAGCCCAACAAGCCAATCCAAGGTCCTACCGCAGAACGCAAGCTGGACATCGGGTTCGTGAACGATCCCCAGGCAAGAAGCGACTCCCGGTGTCTCTGGTGACAGATACTCGTCACCGGAAAGTTGAAGAGCAACCCATACGCCGGCATCGCCTCCAAAGCATGGCTCGACTTGGGGAGGTATGAAAGAGAAGTTCTCACTGCTCTAGACCGAGAGACCACCCACTTGGCTCAGAACTTTTAGACACTTTGCACTTTGCGGTTGGGCACTGAAACCCACTCCCCAATAACCGACTGCACCCCTGAAACCGATCACAGCCTGCGGTACGAGCCTGCGGGAAATGGCAAGAGACGCCGTCCATCGGCGTTCAACCTGACGTCCTCCCTGGGACCGCGACTCGTGGGGTCATCAAGTCTGGGACAAAAGAGCAGGCAGCGGACACGACCACGACATGGAAGCTTCAGGGTCCTGAGTGGCAGCGAAATTCACGTCTCAGGCCACATCGATGAACTTAGTCATCAGCGAAATACACACAGTCGAGCCTTGACGATTTCTTGATCACTATGGGCCTATGGATTTGGCCGGGAAGATGTCTTGAGCTACGGCGGCGTTAGTATCTGATGCCACAAGCAACCGCGGGAGCTCGCCAACCAGTCCAGCTCCATCGTCCAATGGGGCTTTGATGTCAAAATGGTGCTGGCTTTCCGTGATAAAGACCCTGTCCATCCATCGACATTGCCTTTCCTCTGATAACGCCGCCAGAACCAGGGTTGGCTTCCAACAAGAACAGCGACTCGGTCATTCCACAAGTTCAAGTCGAACTTCAGCTCTTCGCGGCCGACCTCACTCCACCTCCCATAATCGCTCGTCATCCGCCAGCCCTGTCCGAAACCTCAGTGGCAGGCCTCCAAGAGCGGCCTCTGAACTCAGCGTACGACGGGCTCAGCGCGGGCGCATCCTCGCCCGTGTCGTCTCCATCGACTCGCCGCTTCCAATTCTCCTCGTCGCTATCTCCACACGTCTGATGCTCCGCCAACTCCACTCCCTTAGGTTTCCAACGACCGGAGTCATCCCCACCGAGTCCGCCGTGATCTGACCGGTTGCCACACTCGCCCACACGTGTTAGAGGAGGTTGCAAAAAGAGCCACAGGACTGCCATTCACTGCCAATTGCATGACACGTTCTCGTTGGCAAACTTGATCAGTTTTGCAGGTCTAATTACTGTACACGCTCGATGCTGGAATGGGGTATGCGAGCTTAAATCCGTCTCTCTCTGGGGTTGATGACTCAAAAGTCCGTCAGTCTCTCGACCCCCAAGTCTTCCTAGCATCCCGCATCGCCCACTCAGTCATCCACTGGCTCCGGAGTATATCCTCCGCCGTTGGCCGCTCCCCTGGCCTAAACTTCAAGATGTCCTTGATCAATTCGCAGAACGCCTTGCTCTCCCTCTTGCCCATAGTGTCGTGCTTCTTGCGTCGTCTCGGGCCCTGGATCGCGTCCTCGAATCGCTGGTCAAAGGTCCAGGGCTGCCTGCCCTCCGTCGGCTGACCGTTGGCGGCGAAACGCTTCCACTTCCCGTCCCAAGCGTCCCACCACTCGTCTGGCAACGGGCCTAGAGCATCGATCTGGTTTGCCGTGACATCATCTAGTTCTGGGAGGAAGATGTCGAGGAATGGTCTGACGCCGAGGATCTCCCAGATGATGCAGCCGAGACTCCAAATGTCGGATGCATACGATAAGGGAGTCGTCGGATCGAAGCGCGGTTCGGGCGGACGGGTCTTGCGAGGCGTGAATGATTGCAGTCGAGTCTCGTACGCAGGTGAGAAGGCCGTGCCAAGGTCGGTGAGCATAAGCTTAGCTTCAGAGAGAGTAACCTCTTCCGCAGGTTTCCCAAGCAAAGCTGGCGTGTAGGCATATGCTGGGACAGATAGCGACGTGATCGGTTGCTTGTCGACCCTTACCACAGGTTCTGCCTCTGGGTCGCCATATTTCTCGTAGAGCTCTTTGACGGTAAGCTTGTCGATTTCTTCGCCCGGCAATTGGAGGAGCAGATTGCCGAGGTGGATGTCTGGGAAACGTTAGCGACATCTTGAGGTATCCATCCGAATACAACTGACCTCCGTGAACAATTCCCAGCGTATGTATACGAGCCACTGCTATGACAAGCTGGGCAGCGAGAGATCTGGCGGCATCAAGCGGGAATAGATCGTAGTCCTTGAGAGCCTCGACGAGACTGCATCTGGCCGGCGTGGTGACCAGGCACGAATGTGTCCCGTTGGGCCCTATGAGCTTAAAATGGTCGAGGACGGGGGGGAGGAGACGGTCGCTCAAGTCATTGATTGGGCAAGCCGAAAGTTGTTCCAGGATCTGAGCTTCCTTAGAGCTGTGGTCCGCGATCCCAATCTTCACTGCCACGTATCTGCTCAGCTTTTCGTCTCGTGCGAGCCAGATCGTGGAGTGCGATCCGTGCCCGAGCTTTTCGATAATAGAGTATCGTTCCTGGAGCTTATCATTCAATTGAATTGGGTGATAGCCGCCGGGTCGATATCCGTCCAGTCGTTCGACGTCGCTGATATACTCATAAAGCGGCCCATCGGTTGCCATGGTTCGTCTAAATGGTCGCAGTGTAGGCACGAAGGATTGCAGACCTGGGCTTTGCTTTTTAACGAAGTGGCATGCAAACGATCGCATATTCTCAAGCTGATGATGGAGTCAAGATGCAAGCCTGGAACGCGGGCGATGAACGATTTACATATCTTGGGTCGGCCTCAAATTGGGAATGTTGGTGATGGAGAAAGACTAACCTGCGCTAGCCCGTGACATTGCACGCGCTCGTCACGCGGGCACCTTGAATTGGCACAAGATTTCAATTGGTCAGTTGGCTAACCAATCAGTGGAGCCTTGGTTTGGAAGGAAGCGAGGCTATTGGAGGGGATTGCCAAAAGCCCCAGTGCAGCCTGGAGGCCGTTTAGAGCGCGCGCTTCGCAAGTGCAGGTCAGAAGGTCACCATGACTGAAATGAAGAAGGACCAACAGGCAAGTTGGCTGCGAATGCATTCAACCAGATAAACCAAGCGAGGCAAGAAATTTATAAATAGCTGCTGAGAATTCCATGAGAATGGATGAGGGTCAGATCAAATCTGAGTTGCTCAGGCCTCATCATGTCTACCGTCAACATCATCAAGTACTACTTTCATGTGGAAGGACTCCCTAAAGATCCTAACTATGTCCGCAACTTGGTGCGCTTAGCCTACCAGACCGCGACTGCCAAGAACCTCTACCCTCGCGCTGTCTTCATCCGGTATGCTCGACAACGATCTTCTAAATTCTGATGCGTCGCTAACCCTATCACCAGCGCAGATGTCCATTCTACCACGACCATCAACGGCATTTACCAGAAAGATCCAAAGGGCGATCACATCACGCTTTGCTTCAAGAACGAGGAGCACATGCGCAAAGGCACGCATATTGCCTGTCATGGCTATGTGACGGATAGAAACGCCCTGAACTTCAGGGAGGCGACTGATTCGCCCGAGAAAGCGGATTCGACAAAGAAGAAGAGCAATAAGAAACCGGTATGGCCATCTTCAGACAAACTCCAGGAGCTGCCTGAAGGGTGGTACAGTCATTTGGACAGTAAGTGAGGGTACGCTCGCTCAGCGAATTACCAGCACAGCGCCAGTACTAGAGAGGAATCAAAGTCATATTTCTTCTAATCTCCGTACCACATTCATTATTTGAGCTATTTACAGCTGCGACTGCTGTCTCCGTACTGCCCATAGTCACTGGCTGCCTACCAAGCAGCCTCCTCAGTGATGTTCATACCTCCTAGACCGTCAATCCAATGACATGATCTCAGGGTCCCATCATCTCAGCCCTAGGGGGGGTTCCCGTTTACGACGATGGAGATAGCTGGCACGAAAATTGGAAGACGCCCAAGGCCAGTTCCCTATTGTCGGCCCCTGCTCAAAATCATGAGATCCTCCAAGTTGTGAACGGGCGGTCTTCTTCGTCTACGCTTGGACGCCGAAGATATGGCATCTGATCTGAAACAAGACATTGGTAGCCGCTAACTTAAGCTTAAGGCATCCATACAAGCGCGGACGTCTGACTCTCTTTCTGCAGGAGGTGACTCGAGAGCTGCTTCCTCGAGAATATCTTCGATGGCTCCCGCAAACCTGCGAAAGGCATTTCGTTGGGCCTTAAAATTTCCTGCTTTCTCGGCGGAATCATTAGACAGATTCAGATCCCGTAGGAAATCAAAAAATCGATTTTCAAGTCTTCTTCCCAGCGGCCTTGGCTGTCCTGATTTCTCCAGCAACAATGGTAGATGATTGAAGTGCCTGTTAGATGTCTCGATGCTGAGTCCGAGTGACCTGTCTTGCCAGGTTTTGGAGCACCAGTTTTGGAACATACCAAGAGTTTTTCGGATATCTTTGGGTGGCAACCTTCTCCTACTTCATCCAAAAGGCATGCTGCATCGCAGCAAAGCCAAGTGATGTTAGTTCTGCCTAGCATTTCTTGCATCCATTTCGCCGAACATAAAACAGGACCGCGGAAGAAGCGGCATTCCTCAACCCCCCCGCTCAGGGATTCAAGGATCGTTTCCCATCGCTGCTGGAGGTAAGGTAAATTCCAGACTTCACCTTTCTTGGCTTCTACCTTCAGCTTAGAGTGGCACGTATGGACGGCAGACGGACGGCATATCTCTGGAGACGCGGCTTGCCTCTTGACTACAGATGACCCTCAAGTCGGTCATCCATCGTTCCTCCTTCCAATCCCGACGCCAGAGAGCAAAGGCTTTAGTGAACTCCAGTATAAGTAGCCGACGAAAGCAGCTGCATGTTGGGTAAAAGTTGATCGCATAACTCGGGTGGAAAGCGGTGACTCGAAGGAGCGACAAGGATTGACCGTACCCCAAAATGGAGGGTTGGAAGCTTCCTCCGATTCCAGTTCGGCAAACGTCCAGGACGAGAGGATCTTCCGACTCTGTCTTGTAGCAACAGATGACAACATCCGGCTGTTTCGCTCTGATCATGTCGGCAAATGTATTTTGCGCCTTGTTGATTGTGTCTTTGTTCGTTATGGTTTCGTCTAGGAACGGTATTGCGTCAAATATGCTGATGTCGTCGAAACCGAATCTCCCATTGCTCACAGCAGAAATCAACTCTGCCACTGCGTTAAGAGTCGCGCATCCACGCCTCCCTGCAACAAAGCCGTCGGAAAAAACCTGTTTCGAATGAGGTCGTAACAGCACCACGACGATATCGACTTCCGATTCGGGTTGCGCCATTTCGATACCAAAACTTAGCTCACAGACTTGGAGGCACTTGCATCCATCTTCGTCCTCAAGATCGATTCCGAAATCGTAGAGAATCCGCGCATGCCCGGATTCGTTCTCAGCCAGGCTGATGGGTTGAGCTTGCCGAATTAGTCGCCGTAGGCGGTAATCTATGGGAACACCAAGACACTCCATAATTGTTTAGGCGTGGCTGAGTATTTTGAGCACTTTTGGTGGGCGAAGAGCCAGTCGGCGATTACAGGCTCGTGTCCAACGGGGGTTGGTGGGGCATTCGGCGGCAACTGAGTAGCTGGCCAGTTGAGGAGGACCGACAAGGTTAGGCATTGAAAATATAACACTGAGTAGTGTCTAGCACCGGTCTCGATCCTGCTTTGTCGCGTACGTGAAACCTCAAGTTGCTTGTTGCAAGTTTTGACGTCGTGCTCAATTGATGCGGGGTTGGGCACTGAGAGATGTGACATTCACGGAAATATGACATAATTGATAGGCTTCGGAATCGTGAAGCAACAAACTCAAGGGGCTTTTTGAGTGTCCGTAAGTATCTCAATCATTACAGTACATAAAGGGGCTCATATTACTCTTATAAGACAGCATCGGAAGTTGCTGAACTTGCCTCCGTTTCTCAAGGCTTTTCCGGGCAAACAGTTTTGCCATGCATCAGCTCCACCACGTCGTGACGAGCCCCGACACGTACACTCCAGTCCACGCCATGCAAACGTCAACGTCTTCTTGAAGGAGAAACGAGATCAATCGAAGCATTTCTTCATCATTGCCCCTACGGCGACGTTGTTCTCTGACGCGAGAAGCAACCGTGAGAGGTCGCCAATGGAAGGCGTCGAAGCTTTCTCCCGGCGAGGTTCGAGTCTTTCGAACCACTCTAGACGCTCTGTAACACAGGGCAGCTCGGACCTGACGAATTTGAAAGGGCTATGCATCATGACTTCCACTCCCTTGGCTGACCTTGCTGACTTCGGTACTAACAACCACGAACACCCTAACGCATAGAGCACTCACTTAGCACAGCCATTCCTTTCGCCTTCACGCTTCACGGACGAGGGCTTCAGGAAGTTCAAGTAAGCTGATACACATGCTTCAACCCCTGAAGCAAGCGTCGGGGACAGCAACTGCACTAGTGGAGAACTGCATTGTACATCCCCGATCACTTAACGGATGACTCGATCAACCAGACAACGTCAGCCTCTACTACGGCGCCCGTCCTGGATAGCCCATGTTTAATTCCTTGGCCCGTTCTCCGCCTTGTAAAAAGTTCGACCACGTCGCTGTCGCGCAATATTTAAGGCTCTGGAGTAGATGAGCTAAGAACCAGAAACAAAGGCTACTCATTCAACCTTTTCCCAGAGAAAGCCAACCTCAATACAGAGCTGCGGTCCGTGTCGTAGCTGAAACCTCACTTGAGATGTTTTCGGGTCGCACGGTACCTTGATCTCATCGTCAGTGGGAATGGTGGAAGCCTCCACGGACATGAGTTGCCTGTTGGAGGGGTCCTGCAATTGCGTCGTTCGACGAACCGATATCCATCCTGCTGAAATAGACACAAACTCGAAGGAGACGTGCAACTGGTCTATCTGGACGTCGAGTGGTTCTCGGCCAATGCCTACCTTGCTTTGAAATGGCAGATCAGCGCTCGTGATCACGACGGACGATTCTTGGCGGTCTGATGGCGGAGACAACCGGTATGCACTGTGGGAAGAGACGCGAGAGGACAGCAGTACAACAGTATCCGAGCTGACTGTAGAACCGCTTGATAAAGGCAGAAACGCTTTACTTTCGAGAGGGTCTAGCCCCCAAGGCATCGCCCTAGCCTGTCGAAAACGGGTCGCCTCGTTCATGTGTTGTATCATATCCTGGATAATGGCGCGGAAGGTGCAAGCCTGCGCCTCAGTCATCCAATCAACATCTGGAATGGTCCATTGCTCGTAAAGGCGTCGGTGGGCGTGCGATACGTGGTACCGGCTCTGCTTGAGGATGAACAGGTCGCAGAGGTAGCAAGCTGATTTACTACAACCAAGGGCTCGCACGGCTAGTTGACAAGTATGCCGCTCAAGGTAAAGTATCTGTTGTATCTCCGCATGAACGAAACACTTTAGAGAGAGGCCCGGGCGGAACGTTGCTGAATAGGCTTTCAGGGCGGTGACATCAATATGGTTGAACAGGGTCCGGTACTCCGGTTTCCGCGCAAGGCGTAGAAAGTCCTTGCAGAGGAATAAATAGCGCGCTAACTTGTCGATCTGTCGAACCTCTGAGGCGTCATAGAGAACAGATGGCACACCGTGGGATTTGAGATGTTCCTCTAACGAGTGCATGTTCCCGACTGCAGCAATGCTTGCACATTTCATGATGACGTGCTCGAGGGCCCGATTAATATCGTCGTGTTCAAGCCTTCGGCTAAGAGGCTCTAGGGAGTCGATAAGTCCGCAGACTTGATCATAGGTGACTAGCAATTGCGGTGCAAACGCCAGTCGTTTCTTGAGCTGCCTTGCAAGATCTAAAAGCTGAACTTTGAGGAACGGCCGTTTTTTTCTGATGTGAGAGGGCTGCTGTATCCAAGGTGGCCGAATCCGACCAAGGATCCTTCTTTGACTGAGCTGTAGAACTTTCAGGAATAGGCTACGACAGAATTCTTGGCGTTTTTTTCCTACGCACCCTCGTCAGCGTAGGACTTACAATTTGAAGTCTGTAGTCCTAACTCAATGTGCAATACTGGCATACTGTGGCCAAAATGTCCCTCAGCCCCGCGATGATCGATTGTGACGGAGTGGAGTTGCTCGCGAGTACGACGACGAGACCAGAGGGGTGTTCCTCCAGAGTCACTGCCGAAATCATACGGACATTTTCTTCCCAGTGAGCGAGATAGGCAAGATTGTCGGCCATCTGGAGCTCATCTCCAAGCGAAAGAACATGCCCATCAGGATCTGGCGTTGTGCTGCCACGGTAGAACTGAGGCTCTGGCGGATTCCGTGTAACCTTACGCAGCTTTGCCACCGAAGTGTGAAAGCTGCGGCTAGACGAAGGTGTCCAGAAATTTAACGCTGCCTCCATTTCTGCTCTGGTGTCGAGCAAGATGACAAGCGCTCCGCTCGCCGTGAGGGGTTATAATGGAAGGCAAGCGGGGATGAACCAATGGACGAGACTGATCCGCCCAATGACGGGAGGCCGCGATGGATGTGCTACTTGAGTCGGCGGCGGTGTACGGTCCAACACAGTGCACACGAGAAGCCACTTCATTCTTCTTTTGCCGTTGCTCAAGTATGTTACGACTTACTGGCGCTCGAGGCTTATCGATCCCACCGTTTCTAACTTGCTCAGTTCTTTTGTAGGTCCTCCAAGCTATGCAGCATGGCGACGATTCCGCCAATACTCTACCCACGTCTTATTTTAGAAAAGAAACAATAGATCTCCCGATCCGAACGATGGCGCATTCGGGAAATGTTGATCTAGCGCAAAACCCACTCTGTCGGGTGCGATCGCGCTAGGGCCGGACCGCTGGACGGGCGAACGACTGAAGTACTAGTGAAGCGTCCGAAAGACGGGCGTCCTCCACCTGCGGAAACGCGGAGGTGTGAGACGCCGATCAGTCCATTCGTAAAGATTGCGCGGTGTGATCTCGTATACACACGGCTTAGTTGATATAATGCGTCACCCAATATCTTTGCGCGAAACATGTCAGT